AGGTTGCGGTTACCGGTGACCGCTTGGTGTTTGACAGTTTAATGTCGTAGGACATTCTCTTCCAGCCAACCTTAGGATTTAATAAATAGATCTACGAAAATAAACGAAAAGATTAAATAAATAAGAAAATAGGTGACATGTAGAAAATAAGGTTTAATTTACATAATTATAATTACTTAACTAGCTTCTGCCCGCGACTACGTACGCGCAATCCCGTTTTCTTCCGTTCCCGTAGGATTTTCAGGATTTTTTCTGTCTTCTGAACCTTCTCCTAATAATAACAAATACAACAAAAAATAATAATTAGTGAAATTGGTCTAGTCATTCACGCGTGATGGCGTGACCAAGGGAAAATAGGATTCATTTTTATATACCTATAGATGAAATAAAATATAGAATCTTTGATTTTAAGACGAAGGATAATAAGAGGTAAAATTATGTTTATAGGTACTAAGTTCTCTATCAAAGATTAAGCGTAACTTGTTGTTAATATATTTAATGAGCGCCTATTTTATACTTAATTGCCTATTACATATTTAATAGTTCAATGACGATTCAGTACCAGTTTCTAGCACTAGTAGCTAGTACTTGTTAATACCTATTTAGTAAGGCTTAGAACTCACGGGCGATTTTTACCCGCGCCCACTGCGGTTGCAGGCCCGCAGCCTTTGTAGAATACAAATATATAATGTAAAAATCAAAGTAATTTTCACGGCGTTTTACGCCCGCGGCGTGTGCGATTGTTTGCGGCTCCCGCTCCACGGGCGCGGGCGCGACGCGGTCCGGCCAAGTTTGTGGGTGATAATCGCAACCGCGGCGGTTAACGATACAAAACTGGGGTATTGTGAATTTTAAAAATAAATCTCCATTCCGTATGTCAAAGTTAAAGTTATTTATTGCTAACATAGTTATCTAATATGTTGCTTGGATGTTTAAAGAGTGGTTGTTGAAAATCGGCATGGGACCTTTGAGTTAGTTTCAATGTTTTTTCACAGAGTAGTGCCATCCAATTACTTCACCCGCCTGGATGACGCGAGAGGGAGTGTCAGACTTTTACTGACTAAAAATCACCCCGTTCCTTCTCCTGCACTTCAAGCCGGAGCCCCAGTAACCCGTTAAGTCTGGATCTGTTTTCTACGTTCTACTACACAAATCGAATAGGAACACTTTAGAATAAGAGATGATAGACAAAACTCTTTCGAATTGAAAACCCACGTTTTACTAAGCATTGATCGATAGTTTGTTTATTTTGATTGACGAAAACCATTTTTGATTGCATTTGATGTGTACGCTTAGTGTGAATTTTTTTAACATTTTGATTTATAACTATCAAAAATCACTTATAACATAACATCACGCCTTTTATCCTCGAAGGGGTAGGCAGAGGTGCACATTACTGTGTTATGAGTTTTTTACTCAAATGGTTGATGTTAAAATGCATGATACTTGTTAACCTGCTATGAATTCACAGTTGTGACATTTAAGCGAGGTTTTTCGCGTTTCATTTACAGGTTCGACCAAGTATGACGAAAAAACGTCTAATGCGAAATATTATTGGTACTTAACATAATTTTGATCTGCGAATCTCCTTATGAAGTAAAATAGGTAGAAGATATTAAAAACTGCCTCTTTCCGGTCTAAACGGCCGAGTGGTCGCAAGTGCGACTGCCGGGCAAGGGGTCTCGGGTTGGAAAGTATTACTGGGTTTTTAAAAAAATCTCAGTAGTAGCACGGAGTCTGTATTTTGTGCCCGGTATATGGCAATAGGCTCACACCCTATTACGTGAGACTCATAACATATGTAAATAGTGAAAAGTGGGTGTTATATTGTACAGTGGCATAATGTGCACCTCTGCCTACCCCTTCGGGGATAAAAGGCGTGAAGTTATGTATGTAGGTATGTATATTAAAAACTGAAAAGTTCTTCGGTAATCAGACTGAAATTAATTAAACAGTCGTACTTGTAATATTCCCATTGTTGCTATACCTATTGATTTATGACCATTTATAACAACATTAATTTCCTACAAGACCTCTGTAACTTAAGGTAAACGTAGGACAACGCCCGTCGTTTGCGCAAAACATCGCGTGTTTATCGATTTCAGGACAATATTTCCTTATAAAGGTATTCATTAATGTTCTAAGGAATATGAGTTTTGTTTTCGAAACATTTAAGTACTAATTGCTACGGAGAGAACTATTACTAATATGTATATCTTTACACAATAAAAATGACACCGCCTGTTGAGACCCGAATGGATAGCAAAAATGCACATTCAATGTAACTCACTTTTTACCCATTATAAGTCCCAAATTGGGTATTATGGTAATATGGTATTACACAAATTTCAGATTTGAAACAAATTACATACTTACATAACATCACGCCTTTTATCCCCGAAGGGGTAGGCTGAGGTGCACATTACGGCACTTAATGCCCCTGTATAAAGTAACACCCACTTTTTGCTATTTAAGTTATGAGTCCCATGAATTAAGGGGTGAGCCTATAGCCATATACCGGGTACAGTTCGAGACTCCGTGCTATTACTGAGATTTTTAAAAAACCGAGTAATTATTTGCCTGGCCCGGGAATAGAACCTGAGACCAAGGGGTGACACTCGGCAAATGAGGCGGTAATAAATTATATAGGTACTATTTTTGTCTAAAACAGAGTTAAACTGCTTCTTGTGAGCGGTAGTCGTTTGATTGCTTGACCAATGAGCCAGTTACAAACCTCTATAGACTGTAACCTCTCAACATAATATCTATGTGTCATCCTATTGTTATTGCCACGCCACTTCATAAAAAACTTGAGACGATTGTCTATGTGAAATTGTTAGCTGCAACGTGCATTTCATTTACCTGGTTTATGAAAGGGATAAGAACTTCGAGGTAAAAAACCGTATCCAATCTGTGATTTTGTTTTACTTTGAAATATTTTCGACTTTATTACGAGACGATAAAGTTAGACTCGCCTTGTAATAAATGGAATTCAAACACAATGTGCACGGATTATTAATTTTGGCTGTAAGAGGTCCGAATTCTTTTTCTTTATTATTCAATACTAGCGACCCGCCCCGGCTTCGCACGGGTGTAACATGCATGTATTATATATGTAAACCTTCCTTAAGAATCACTATCTAATAAAAAAAATCGCATCAAACACCGTTGCGTAGTTTCAAAGATCTAAGCATACCTACATAGGGACAGACTGATCTTCTGATAGATAGATAGATTTCTGACTGCACTGCGCTGTTATAAAACAAAATAAGTTAATCATTGAAATGTAGGTAACTGATGAAAGGTCGTCACAATGATTAAGTAGATTTATATATTTGTTTATAATTTTACAAAAGAAAAAACAACGAACAGAGTGAACAACACGTGCATGGCACTTCGTTAACAGAGATAGTTAAGGAAACTATGATAGTTATAATCATAGCAGTTATCGGGTATCTGTACTAGTCTATAAATCCCATCATAAAAGTTTTTAGTAAAATATCCTACTACCAAATGTCGCGGAGAACCTAACGGGTTACCAGGGCTCCGGCTTGAAGTGTAGGAGTAGGAACGGGGTGATTTTTAGTCAGTAAGAGTCTGACACTCCCTCTCGACTCACCGAGGCGGGAGAAGGCATTCGATGATTTTCCCCCCTTAAAAAAAACCTACTACTAAATGGACGTTTTGCCTTGTTGCGCAAGACTGTCTAGTTTTCCATTGTAAAAATTATTGATAAAACGGAGTCTGAATTCGTGGCCCGTAGGAAAGTATAAAAGTCTAGGTAGATAAATTCCACTTCAGAGGTCACGCACGGAAAAATCGTATGTAGCTGTGAAGAAATTGAGTTATAGTGATGTGGTACCTTGCTACCAAAAGAATTTGTCCCTTTTGAGCTTTTTCCATTCCAATAATTTCCGAATTGCCAAGGTTATTAAAGTACTTATATTTTTGTTGGAAAATCTTACTCCAATTTGGTTACCTTGCAGCCCAGGTTATCTTCAAAATAGAAACTCTTTGCATAAAATTAGAGTGTATAGATTGAACCAAAATGTTATTCTGAATATAAAGGTATACCTACTACGATAAATTCGATTATTCTATACCGGTTTGGACTTCAATGATAAAAATTAAAAATTTGGGTATAAAAATCATTTTGTAAGTATCTGATAATTTAATTTTAATCTTAAAGAAAGGTCGTTTCACTAAATGCTACCCTAAATAGGAACTTGCGAACGATCAATGCAGAAGAAATGATAAAGAGAGTCCAGTGAGTAAAATAAAAAAGTAGTAAAAAAAACTAGCTACACTTGTCTACAGGAAAAATTATCGATATACTTGTACACTTACGTTGCAAAACAATGATAATTAAACGTCGTCGCGTCGCTCACTTAACAATTAATAACCAACTAGAAAAAGATACAAACTAATTTCTATTCATTTAGAATACATTTAGATAAAAATAATTATTTTAATTAAAATAGACGCCATTAATTTCACAATGATAACAAAATTGGCGATAAACGCCAACATTCACATTTAGTTTTCTTTTTAAATAATTTGAAAAAAGAACTTAACAGACGTCAGGGAGAATGCGCGGCAATTTTCATTTGTTTTTTTTATTGGTCTGTTGACATAGCAGTAAGCATTGTAAAGTGTTTTAAGTATTTATATTGAAAATTGATTTTATACACTTATCAGATTATTGTGAACAGTTGACTTTTACACCTAATGGCTCCAGTTTATTAATGAACTAAACAACCAATCATGGCTTTTCCACGCATTTTAAAGTTAAAAATATTAAGGTACAACGGTAAACAATAAATTTTGGCTATTGCAATAATAACTACAACACTTCTTAGTATTAACACAAAAATAATTTTTCGCGCTCTCAACGTCAACTAAACTGACACGAGAAAATATAAACAATCTATAGTTTGTTAGAAATGTTATGATAAAGAGCTAGATATTTATTATTTATTTTAAACTATGATTGGACTTACTCTGAATTTCAAGTCTTTCCAGTTTATCTTCAGCTCTTTGCTTCACTTCTAATGGACTCTCTATGTGGTAGAATATGCTCGCACCAACCAGCAGGTACATAATATGCAGCGCAAGCATGCAGGTCAATTGCTTTTTGGACATCATCTTGACTAGGTTTTATTAAAAAACTATTCAGAAAAATATCTCTGTACACTTAAAAACACTTGTGTCGTATCACAATTGTCTATGTCTATAAACTAATTGTCACAGACAATCACAACAATATCATAATCCATATCGTCCCTTGCAGGGGAGTAAGAAACTGAAGTAACAAAAATCTCAAAATCTTCAATGTTTCTATGAATCGATTCAGGGGCAAACTGAGATCTTGCTGACACACGCTCTTCTTTTTGTAGCACATGTTAATAAGGTCCTCGTCGGAGACAATAACACAAACACTTCGAATTTTTATTCATTATATTGTTCGTATATACATCGTGTTTAATAGCGAGTTGAGATGACACTTCCCGATTGACCGACGTTCGGCTCGAGCGGTCGATGCGTTAGAATGATTTTCCCGGCGCGCGCGCCTGCGAATCGTGCGCCGTTTACTCTTACGTCCTTTTTTTATACGGCAAGCTCTAAATATTTGTGTGACAACGACGTGAATTAACTCGTCGTAAAGGATAATAAGTGAGGTTATTACCGACATAGTTATAGCTCAAGTTCTGACGCAGTATTAATGCTAACACTGCGAGGCGAAAGATTTCGTTTATAACCGGGGATTAAAAGGGATTCTGCTGTTGATAAAGAGATGTTACATCATTAGTTGATAGCGAATTCTTCCAGCGCCAAACTTTGACGTAGTCTAGGAACGATTATAGGCTTGCCTGTGTTGACGGTGGAAGTAACAGTTGAATGATAAATTGGAAACAGTAAATATAAAGAAATGATAATTTGATAAATGATTTTTATTCTAATTGCGTTTACAATTAGTCATTCGTGGTACCAGATGTTGGAGTTTGATGAATTCGCCTACATTTGTGATGTTTATTCAAAGATAATAGTCAAAGAGTTCCGTACATAAAGAGAACATTAAAGTTAGGGTTGGGTGACGCATTGTGTGAAACTGTAGCATCGTCAGTTGTTAGCGTGTTAATGCCCAATATCACTGTTTCTGTTTTGTGACGTCATTCCTATGGGGTTTTTGAGTTCTTATCCTGTTTCGTGGAGCCTACGTGAGGTTCATTAGTCTTTGGAAATTACTTCAAGATGGCGCATTGGTAGTGCGAACTATTAGTGCGTGACATTTCCCTTTATTTTTAAAAAATATGTTGCTAGTTATGGTATTTCAATCCGGATTTTTACTAATAAACATTATGTTAAGTAGGTATCTATTATACCTACTTATTGTTTTGGATTCGTTATCGAAACTATTTGTTATTTTGCAGAAGGTATAAAAGTTTTTAACGGCGATGTCATGTGTTATATATTTTTTTAAAATTTCGGAACCTGATTTATGGATTTATAGTGGTTGTGGCTTTTTCCTAATTTAATTTAAATGTCTGTACATTCATATCTAAAATTACCCGTATTTGTTATCAATTTTAAAATTCAATATTTCTTTTGTTTTCTATCTTTTTATAAAGATCTCTAAGTTTCATTAATACTGAAGATTTATTCTGGTTTATAATATAATAAAAGTGTAAATATATAAAAACAACACAAGTCTGTCGTTGCCCAAAATAAGAACGTTGATAAACACTATTTACGTAATGTTATTATGAAAGCAGATAGTGAACTCTACCTCACTCTTTCTCTTTTCTTACTCTTATTTCCATCGCTGTTAATTGACAGGGGATATTTTTTGTAAGGATGGACAATCGTCAATTGATTTTCCAAGCCATGGGCGGGAAAGGTGCGAATGTGAGACTCTTACTGACTAAAAACCACTCCGTTCCTACTCCTAGTCTGTGCCGCGGCCTATGTACGGTACCTATGTATAAAACTAACCGTACCTGCGATCCACGTAGAAAAAATATGAATTTTTCTATGGTATTCTATAACATCTACGTAATATGTGAAACTATAAGATTTTCTCCCTCTTTCTTTTTCTACCCCTTTTCTTTTCCTCTTTTTTCTTTTTCTATTTTGGTAATGACCTATATGCATTGACGTTCTACCCATAGGAGAAGTTAGATATCGTCGTGATGTGTTGTAGGGTAAGACGTTGATGCATGTAGGTACTAGGTAATAAGTTGGTGTTAAATTAAAAAACTAGCACCTATACATGCCCCTTTATAGAATAGACACTTAATTAATAACTACATTGATAACACCAATTATTTTACATACGGGCCTAGCCTTACCCTTTCTCCGGCCACCGTTAACTCGGGCCTGCTGACAGCGAGAATGGGTAGCTCGCCGTCCGATCAGAACCAGACCCGAGTGTACAGTGCGTTGCGCTCTGCGCGGGCCTCAAAGAGTCATCAGTCCATCACTAATAGGGCTGATGCTGATACGGATACGCGAAGGACTTAACGGTTTGCTGGGGCTCCGACTCGAGGTGCAGGAGTAGAAACTGGGTGGTTTTTTGTCAGTAAGAGTCTAACAATTCCTCCTCACCCAGGCGGGGGAAGTCATTTGATGATTTTGCCCCCTAAAAAAAGCCTTACCCTTGAAGATTGAATCGTGACGTAGAACTCTGTAGGAATGTTAGTCCCGGACTTTCCTTGTACACCATGGATATGACGTAGTCTTTCACTTGTCTTTTATTATGATGATTCATGGTTTCTCAATAAACCATCTCTTTAATATTTGGTACATTTTTCCTGGGTAACTGTGCTATGACTCTATGGCGTGACGATGACTAAAGAATCATTAATGACTAAGAAGATTACATTAATCCAATAGTGTTGAGGGGTGAAGACTATACAGAAACTAATAAAAGAAATTTAGAACCAAATCAAATGAAAATTCTAAACTAGGGATTTGGTATTTTATTGAAGTAGTAAAAAAACCTGAAAAATTGATAACACTGTTCTTTATGTAACTAGTAACATATACATTTTCCCCATCTCTGAATCCCCCACAATCCTCAAACACCTAATCCCCAAAAGGCCAGTAATGCACTTGTATTGTTTCTGGTATTCCAGGTGTCCATGGGCGACGCCGATTGCTTACCATCAGGTGATCCGTCTGCTCGTTTACCGACTAATGCCATAAAAAAATCTCTCTATTAGTATCCTCTAGCTACCCTTTCGCAACTTAAAAACCAAAATCTTAATAGCAATTATAAGTTTTGAGCAATCATAATTACGATTATGTTATGAATCACAGACAGTCAAATACTGCGTATCAACAATGATAGGAAAGAAAATTCGAGGCTTTCCCCGCGTTTTTCCATAAAAAGAACCTCAAATTAAGCAATAAAGATTTATGAAAATGATTAAAATCTTGTCTAATATGGTGTAATTATGTACCAACATATTAACGCATAATATACAAACTGTAGGTATGTATACTTAGACTATATCAGGTATAAAAATGTCTTATACTTTTTTGAAATTATTCATTACAATACCTTGAATAAAAGCTTAAATCGAAGGTCGTTGTGATGAAAGAAAGAATAAAATTGATTTTATAACACAATGGAGCAAATTTTAAAAAGAAAATCTACTCCAAAACATGAGAGATATGCTTCCGGCAAAAGGGTTTCAATATTAGCTATGGAGACCTTAAGATTATCCAAAACTTGGGACTATAGTCCATGTATATAATAGACCTAAGGCCATTTTTTTTGAGGGGGGGTTGATTATCCAATGACTTCTTTTCTTTTCTTTTTAAAGATTTTCGGTAGTATTTTAAACTACTTGTAGAAAAGAAAATAATTTACACAGGTAAGTACATCAATATGATAGAACCGAGAACGCAGTATGGTGGATATTTAGTCTTTCAGCAGTTTTTTTCTATTGGAATCATGGTTTTAGGTCTGTCTCGGAGCTGCGGACGACCCCTATGTAAGAATGAGGTGGTTTTAGTCAGCAAGTGTCTAACACTCTTTCTCGCCTCACCCAAGGTGGGAGAAGTGAGTAATTGAAGTATTAGAAAACCGCATGTTGCCTATTTTGGCTGACCACGAACAGATAATGAAAAACCATGATCTAACTCTTAAGGGTCTAACTCAGCAGTAGTACTGAGAGTAAGACATCTAAAATTTGATTCGTTCTTTGCCCTTCGACCTCTTCATCTACTTTACGTAATCTTAAGTGTGCTTTTAAAAATGTGGGAAAGCCATGCTTCGGCACAAATAGGTCGGCTCGACCGGAGTGAAGAAAACTGACATGAAATAACGCTTGCTTTGTCTTTCATCTTGTGTGAGATCACCGGAGGCCCAATTACCCCCCTCCCCACTATCCCCAATCCATCATCAATCCTCAAATTTTTCACCCCAAAAGGCCGGCAACACACTTGTAATACCTCTGGGGTGTTTAGGGTCCCCATGGGCGGCGGCAATTGCTTACGATCAGGTTTGCTCGTTTATCGGCTTAATTAACTCATAAAAAATGTATGTTTGTAAACGCTCCCACAACACAGCAGAAAATCCTAGTGTGGGACAACGTTTAAAAAAAATGAATATTTTTGTTACTCATCGAGATAAGTATCGAAAATATACGTTGTTTTCAATACATTGACTTTTTTTATCTCAATGTTACATTCTCATCTCAATTTCACAGTTCGCACCTCTAAAATTATCCATAATAATGGCAAATAAGATGATACATCCCCTTATCTTACTTATTATTATTCGTCCAACCAAATGCTTCCAACGCTCACCTTCCAACTCATCAGTATAACGCGCCAATTAATGTTTTACAGTGTATATTTTCCGCATATTAATATAAGGGTCAGTTCACAGTGACGCAGAAAATAATGAAATGGAGAAGGTTAGCAAAACTAGGAACAGCAGCCAATTCAGGATTTTGAAAAACATCAACCAATAACTTGTGTATAAACTATCGTAAGACATACAAAATTAATTGAAGTCTTGTCTTTAGTCGCGTAGCCAACATACACGCTGCTCATGAATAAGATTTCCGTCGTAGTTTGTAACTAATAGAGCTTTTTTTGGGCATAAGCCGATAAAAGAGCAGACGGATCACCTGATGGTAAGCAATCGGCGCTGCCCATGGGCACCCAAAACACCTGAGCAATTACAAAGTATGTTGTCGGCCTTTTGGGGATTAGGAATTTGGGGATTGTTAGGGATTGAGAAGATTCCCTATCTTAGAGGGGGGGCAAATAATTAGGCCTCCGGCAACCTCACTCACACGGCGAAAAACGCATGCGTTATTTCACGACGGTTTTCTGTGTAACCTGTACACCTAGTTTTAGCCGGTTAGAATTAGGCGTAGCCACTTACACTTGGTTAAACCTAGTACGAGCCGATTATTTGCGGGTAAAACTAGGCCTTTTTTTTTGTCAGACTCTTACTGACTAAAAACCACCCCGTTCCTTCTCCTGCACGTCGAGTCGGAGCCCCGGTTACCCGTTAGGTTCTCCGCGACTCCGAATCGGCATCGGCCGTATTGGGCCCCATCTGGCTCTTTGAGGCGCGCG